TTGCTCTGGTTCACTTCCTTCCTCTTGGTTGATCTCAGTCAGTATTGATAGGAAGTGAGAGATCTGGCCCTCATCCATGGGGTTCTGCAGGCTTATGGGGGGAGGGGGTGTATGATGGCTCAGCAGTTATGACACTGAGCTTGTCAGACGGAAAGTTGACAGTGCAAGTTCAAGACCCAAGCACTGCACAATGGGGTGAGCTCCCATTACTCGCCCCAGCTCCTGTCAACCTAGCAATTTGAAAGCATGCAAATGCAAGTAGATAAATAGGTACTGCTTCTGCGGGAAGGTTACTGCATTCCATATTTTCATACTGGCCACATAATGATGGATACATCTTTCAGACAACACAGGCTCCCTTGGCTGAAAATTGGAGATGAGCACTGCCCCTTTAAGTTAGTCCCACTGGACAAGGGAAACCTTTAAACTTTAAGCAGGGCTCAGTACTTTCTCTGCTTACCTCCCTTCCCTTAGGAAAGTCCCCCCTCCTAAGGAGGTCCATTTAGTGGGACCAAGAAGAAGGGCCTTCTCTGTAATGACTCTCTCCCTGTGGAATGTCATTACTGCAGAGATAAGATTGACCTACACTCTGACACTCTTTTTCAAGACCCTGAACACATGATTGTGCCTACAGGCATGGGGACCCTAGAATGATATGGAGCCCATCAAGTGGCTGGTCTGATTGTCGTGGCCAGGGATATTGGGAGTCATAAGAGTCAAAGTGAGTTGTATAGCCATATACATTTTCTGAATGAATGAATGAATGAATGAATGAATAAATAAATAAATAAATAAATAAATTCCCTGATATAAGAAACAATAACTAAGCAGCAAAGTTGTGTTTTTGAAGGATTTGAATTTATTTTATTTATTTTATTTATTTATTATATTTTTACCCCGCCCTTCTCCTTGCGGACTCAGGGCGGCTAACAGCCTAATAAAAACAAATACAAATGTACAAAAATACTACCATTAAAACGTAATTAAAAGGAAATATTAATTTGGCCTTTGTTATTTTAAAAATAATATAATATTAAATAATATTATATAATATAATAAGAATTGCCAACCAAGAATATCTGTTTACTATTTACTTTCTGTCCACAGCTGCCTTTTAGCAAGCCATCAGAATCTCAC